CGTTACAGTTGCACTTTCGAATCGGTATCATACATTAGAGAGAATGCAAATAAGAAATTGAGCACAGAAATAAACCATAGTGTCTGACATTTGTCTATAGGCTTTGATGTACGGTGGGTGATAAAATTAAGTTTTACGTACTCTACATAGAATTCTATGATTTGGTCTTACTGTTCTTAGAAAGCATGATTTTTGATAAAAGTGATTTAGTGACTGTTGTTACCATTCTAGATTCGTTTCTTTGTGTTCTAATTTTAAGGCCTTGTTGAAGCAAGTAACAACAATCTAACTCTTCTGCAATATATACATGTTACACTTCTCGCTTATCAATCATTGCCAATTAAAACTGAAATTCTAAAAATAGCAATGAGCTACCTTTGTGGTGCACTTGCATACCAGCTGAAGAAAACGCCATTTGCCCTGTTTTCCTGTAAAAAGGTCGTTGGATTACTAATACTTTAGGTCGAGTCGATACACTTACCCATTTGTTTGAAAATTGCTTCCAAACGATGTGCTCTGCCAAACGGCTTTGCATACGCGATAATATAGATATCCAGCTAAAGCACTGGGCAGAAGCCAAACTACCGAGTTGAAAACCACAACATAGATGGCATACTGTAAAAGAAATATGTTAATTGCTCTCTATTATGTAGGTAAGTCAGTAATTGAGATAGTTCACCTGGTAAGGGCTAGTATAGGCCCCAACACAATCGCCGTCGCTTTTGGTGAAAAGAGCAAATTGAGGGGTGGAAAAGAGTAGAGCAAGGGCCCAAGCGATTGAGGCGTAGAAGGCCGGGCGCTTGTATGCGTTGGATTTCATCGAGGCTAACGGGCGGCAAATGGCCTGAAAATGAGACATTGGTCAAAATGTGACTCTCACTTTTTGGAAGAACGAGTCTGGGAAAAAAAGTTGACCTAAGCTTTAGTTAGCAGTCAAACCAACCATTTGAAGTACATCGTATTTTTAAAAAAGCAGCTGGTTCAGTTTAATTATTCATAAACTGCTTCATAGCCTCAAATGCACTAATACTTGTATAAAATCTAAAGTTATCAGAGGCATCAGTTTAGCCTAATCTACGACAGTCAATCTGGCCTAGATTAAACTAAAGTTTCTTTGCAATTTTGTTTTTTAATAAGTTTTTTTTTATCTTTATCAAACGTCTTAAAATAGAATTATGGCCAAGTCGTTCCTGATTACAAGGCGAGAAATGCAATTTCTGCAATTTCGGAATTCTGCTAAACTTGGGTAACACAACTCATCAAATAACTGAAACCGGTACTGATCATTTTTGAAGTGAAGTAGAATTAAAATTACCAGAAAATATTACCCCTAGCCATTATATTATAAAAAGTAATTTTGAACTTTTAAAAGGTTTGAAGATTTACACTCGATGCACTCCAAGAATAAAGCTTTAAGCGGGGATGAATGAAGACTCAGACCCTCTATGATACAGCTAGTGCTGGCCTTCAAAATTTGTTGGAAAGGGATTTAAAAGATTTCTTAACTTCGTATGTGAGTTTAAATTCTATTTTTTTATTAAATGAGGGCCCCTAGTTAGCTTTGAACAAAAAAGACTCCAGCCTCACTCTTTCGGAAAAAGATTATTAAAAATAATTTCAGCAATAATTACTAGTACGGCAAAAGCCATGTTGACATTTGAAGAATTCGCACTTTTTGTTTACTCAAACTTTTTTTCCCCGAAATCAAACCCGAAAACATTTCTTTGCATTCATTTCTCTAATAACGGGATGAGTTAGAAAAGGAGGATAATTACACATTTTTTTGTTTACTGACTGCTCCCT